CCATTAGGCGCATAGTAACACTTCAATATACTAAATTATTTGTTTTTTTTTAAGCTCTACAAAATGGTTTGAAAAGATTTTGCAAAATTTAATTTTTTTTGGGTCAAAAATGGGAAAAACCTATTTCTACCCCATAAAGCCCCCCGTAAACCCCCGTTCCCATAGTCCGTTCATGCTGGTTCGCGAACTCGTTCGAGTTTATCCCGCCTTACACCTTCAAACCAAATTTTATCAAAATCGGACAAAAATTACTCAAGTTATCGTGCAGATGGACACACACATATATATATATATATATATATATATATAAATTTGAACGAATGGTGTTTTTGGCCTCTGGGGACATCAAAATGAAAAAGTAAATCGGTCCCGGGTCTAGGTCTTACCATGAGACCTACGGTAATAGCTACTTCCCTATAGGGAAATTCGCTAAAACATAGAAATGTTTTATTTTGTTTTAAAATTACGCCGGTAATACTTAGTTTGCTGCAGGGAAAGTGTTCTTCTTTGACCTCTCAATTTGTCCTGTAACCACAATTAACTATGCAGGGCTGTCTATAATGTATCACATTTTGCTGTTGAACTGTACAGTATAACATGTCCTTGACAGTATGAAAACCCAATCTTCTCAGTTTACATAGCAGTTTGCGGACTTTTAAGTATCACGTTTTTCATTGTTACTAAATTAATAAAATACCCCCGCCACAGCAAACCTGCAGACTAAGCAAATTTCCATTTATTTTATATGATTTGCAATTAAATCTATTTCAATAACATCATGTTTAACGTGTCTTCGTGAGAATAATATGGTGAGAATATGAATTTTTAAATTTAAAGTTCTTTTTCCTCCGTAACCAACAATCATAAAAACATTTCAAAAGGTATACTAAATTATTTATTTATTTAATCCCTACAAAATTGTTTGGAGATAAATTGGACTTTTTTTGTTTTTATGGTCAAATAGGTTAAGAACAAATGTTTTACCCTCATAAAACCCAGTTTCCATTGTCCGATCCCGCTGGTGTATGAATTTGTTCGAATAAACGTAGATTTACACGTTTGTACAAATTAAATCGAGATCGGATATTTTTCTCGAGTTATCGTGCTAATGAAGATATTCATATGCATTTGAACAGATGGTATTTTTGATATCTGGGGATATGGAAATGAATAATTCGGTTCCCAGGTCCAGGGCTTACGATTAGTCCTACGGTTATAGCTTCTTTCCTAAAACCAGGGTTTACAAAGCTTATGACATGTATAACCTAACGATGCTTGGATTATAAAAATCGGTTCATAAAGAACTACATACCCCAGCGCAACAACGTAGAAAAATTACAACATTCTCAAATCTATTATGCGTAATGGTGGTTTTGTATGTAAGCTCCTACAAAAAATGTAAAAAAAAAACGCTTATAAAATTTAGCCATCGATTGTATTTTGTAGTTTCCCTAAAAAAGTTAGTCCTATAATAATGTGTTAACTAGCTAGTTTAAAGACATTTAAGATTTATTGAAAACTTTAAATCGTCACTATTGTAAATAAATTGTAAGTGGAAACTTCATCCTCTCTACAGATATAGGTAGGTTTAACTACAATAAATTCATGTATCAAGTTTGAAGTTGATACCAAGGTTGAAGCAGCTTTATGCGATAAAATGGCAAAAACGAGAATGGTCCTAACTATGTTTATAGGGTTATTTGGAAAATTAATAGTTCATAAAATAGGTGTAAGACACACTGTATAGTGTACAAGTTATACAATACATGTGTTTTTTAAAGACACTTGATAAATTAAGATAGTTTGACACAACTATGTTTGTCAACTATTAGAGCTAATTAAATTGATATAAAAATCCTGTATTACTACATCAAGGGGTTGTTAGTACAAAATGATACCCAAAATCATAATAATATAGTATTAAATGGTTTCCAATAAATGGATTCTTGCAGGATTCACACCCTACAATTTCAAACACTCATAGAATAAAAAACCCCTGATCAGAATACTATAAACAATAACCCTTGTCAAGGATTTCTATTATATTGTTTGTTCCCATTTGGCCTTAGAAGAATATTTCATTCCATAATGTTATTTCAGTTCCATATTGTAAAACAGTTCAGTCCCAATCCAATTGTTTCAATTCAATAGACTAGACAGACCGTCATATCTTCTCTCTCTCTCTCTCCCTCCCCCTTCTTTCTACCGGTCAACCGGACACTCTTGTCTCAACCACAGTCCACTAAACTTAAAACTATAAGTTCATCAGTAACTTATTTGTATTCAATTCCCATTCTAAGGCCATCAGTCGCCATTTTATTTTCTTTCCCTTTTTAAAATACCAGTTTATTATTATTTTAGTTAAGCAAGCAGCAGTTTTTTGTTTTATTTATTGTTCTGGACATTATTAAATTCAGTGTTGTAAAGAACTAGGACGAAACTAGGTAACAGTGCAAGTAGTGAAAGCATCTCCCATCATCACAGGGGCGCCCCTAACTACAACTCGACTTCAAGACGTCAAAAGGTGCGTGCATCAAAATATCTAAATATTATCACTACAAAATTTGTCTTTTTATTACATTTATAAAGTAACATATTCAAATTATCCCACATTTTTTTGGCCTTCGAGCAGAATAATTTAATCAGACTATGGACTAATTTGCCTATTATTTTGAAGACATATACATTGTGCAATATTTATTAATTAAAAGTGTCAATTTCATATCAATTTGTTATTTAATTAAGTTGTTCAATTTACTGCTAAGCTGCTTGCAAAGACCAAACTTTTCATGTCCAAACCATTCATGTCCAAACATTCACGCATTCCATGTGCTGCTATGACGTCATTTGTCATTTCCACAATTTCATTTCTTATGTCAGCATTGTCAGCTGTCAGCCATCATAGAAATCATGTGATGTCACTTCACTAATGCCATCTGTAGGCGATTTCCAGAACTAAGTGTATTTAGTTCATTTCTAGGCCACTAGTAGCCGCCTTAACCCAATCCTATTGGTAAAATTCCACAAAATCCAATCTCCTTGTTCCATGTCCATGAGTTCATGTCTACAACCTAACCTACATGAATCAACAGCTGTGTGATGCTACATAGATCAAATCGTCTGTTTGATGATCAAAGTCAGTGCAACTTTGAGGTTATGTTTTTGCTTACAAACTTTGTCGTATTATTTATGGACTTATTAATGCAAATAAACTTGATGGATTATTAATGAACAGTGTTAATATCTACTGAGGAAGAGAAATATATTTTTATTTTGGAAATTTATGGATTTATTTAATGAAATGTTTTAATGTTGATTGATATTGCCCAAGCTAGGCTATGTGATTTTACAGCAATTATCTGTGAGTACAGTAATTTACTGAGCATATTTCGTCTTACAATATGAGGTTTACTACATTTATTAAATCTTCTGAGCTTCTTGAGATTAGAATTAAGGCTATCCATAAACAAGTCAAAGCTTTATATGACTTAAGTGTGGTTGCGGAATTAACTAATCCACAGTTAAATAAATTGAGAGCACTCCTAGACACTGCTACTAAAAAACATAATGAATTTGAAAAATCTCTCAATAAACTTTTTGGCACTGTATGTGATTCTGACATCGACACTGATAAAATAAGTAAACTTCAGGAAACTATCTCAGATCTTTTTATTGAAATTCAATGTACAGCAACAACTTTGCTTCCTAGCAATGTACCTCAACTTAATGAATCGACTGAGGTTGCTCAACCTAATCAGCCCTCTGTTTCACAATGCACAGTAAAACTTCCACGCATAACTCTACCTACATTTTCTGGAGATGCAGAACAATGGATTGCATTTCAAAATTTATTTGAGGAAACTGTCCACAAAAATGATTCTCTGTCAAATGTTGAAAAGTTAACATACTTGTTGTCTTGTTTGGCAAATGAGCCTCTAAACTTAGTCAAATCATTACCTGTCAATGCGGCTAACTACCTAATTGCATGGAACGCATTAGTTAAGCGATATAAGAACACTAGGCTACTTGTTAATCTTCATGTAAGCAACATTTTGGATTTACCTGTCTTACAAAAACCCACTGTCAACCAACTAAGGGACTTTTTATCAAAATACAACGAAAACTATGAGGCATTAAAGGCCTTAGGCCATGATATCTCTAATGAAAGTGTTCTTCTGACATCTTGTATTTTGCGAAAATTTGACACCAATCTCCGTGCTGAGTTTGAGCGTAAGCGCAGTAATTATGAAGAAATTCCTAGCATTAAGGATGTTGTTTCCTTTCTAGAAAAAGAGTGCTCACAGAGGGAGGCAGCAAACATAGGCCTCTTGACTGTGTCATGTGGGTCACATGGTAAAGTCAGTTCATCTAGTCTTAGCAAAAATGCTTCATTTTCCAAAAACTCCACTAGTGGAAAAACAGCCAAGTATGTCATGCTAACAAGCAAGCCGTTCACTTCAAATTGTGTATTTTGCAATTCTGATACACACTCAATCTACAGGTGTGAAAAGTTTTTAGCCCTTACTCCACAAACTAGGCAAGGTTTTGTGAAATCTAAGAACCTATGTGTTAACTGTTTAAACCAGCAGCATAGACTGAGCAGCTGTGTCTCTAAACATACTTGTCGTACCTGTAAGAGACGACATCATACTTTGCTTCATTTTGGAAAAATTGAGAATAATGCTTCTCAGCAAACACGTTTAGGCCTACCTAATTCCTCTGATAGTAGTCCTTTGTCTACGAATACTATTGTCGGAAATGTGCAAAACAATTGTTCAGAATCTTCGACAACCGGGAGCACTTCAGCAAGTCTTGTCAGTGTAGCTGAAAATGGAGGTCTAGTACTCCTAGCTACAGCTCTAGTCAATGTATCCTCAATCAACGGCCAGTCATTAGTAGTACGTGCTATACTTGACAGCGCCTCGCAAAATACTATAATCACACAGCATTGTGCTACACTTTTGCAACTACAGCGAACAAAAGTAAATGTCCCTTCTATAATGGGAATTTCTTCTGCTAAAGTAAATTCAAGAGGCATCTCTCATGTGTCACTATCCACTCTTAGTGGACATGTTTTTGCTGGTTCACATCCTGTGCTTATTCTGGACAAAATTTCAAATAATCAACCAGCCGTTCAGTTACCTAACTCTGTGAAATCCACGCTTAAGGGTTACACTCTTGCTGACCCAACATTTGATTTGCCTGGTCCCATCGACCTACTCATCGGAGCGGATCTCTTCCCTCAAACTCTACTCGGATCCTCAGTCAGTCTTGGAGCTAACATGCCATATGTTCTCAACACTATTTTTGGCTATGTTGTAATAGGTACCACACCTATCTTCAAATCAGTTTCATACCCTATGGGCACTTCTACATTCTTATCTACCACTGATATCGATCTTCACTCTACGCTACAGAAGTTTTGGTCTCTCGAAGAACCACCTTCAATACCTCTTCTCTCGCCTCAAGATAAAGACTGTGAAAAACATTTCATCGAGACACATTCTCGTACTCCTAAGGGTAGATATGTATGTCGCATACCTTTCAAAGACAGTCCTTCTAAGTTAGGCGATTCATCTAACATTGCCAAACGCACTTTTCAGTCACTAGAGCGCAAATTTCAAACACAGCCAGAATTCAAGAAAAAATATTCTGAATTTATGGAGGATTATAAGTCATCTGGTCATATGAAACTAGTAGATTCAGATTTGAATCTTTCACATCCACACTGTTTCTTACCCCATCATGGAGTTTTCAAAGACGGAAAAATCAGAGTAGTTTTCAACGCTTCGGCTCCTACATCCACTGGTGTAACCTTAAATAATATTCAGCATCTAGGACCTAAACTACATAGTGAAATATCCGATATAATCTTTCGATTTCGACAGCATAAAATAGTACTACTGTGCGACATAAGACAAATGTTCAGACAAATTGAGATTTATCGTGATGATCAAGTTTTCCAGTTGATTTATTGGAGAGAGAATGAAAGTTTTCCTCTACAGATCTACCAGCTAACTACTGTTACTTATGGACTTACCTCTTCACCGTACTTGGCTAATAGAGTTGTGAAACAGTTAATAACTGACGAGGGTGAGAATCACCAACTTGCGGCAAAGGCCCTGAAAAATCAGATATATGTAGATGATGCTGTGTTAGGCTGTAACTCCATTGAAGAAGCATTGGAACTACAACGGGACGTCATCAATCTCCTGCAGAAGGGCGGTTTTGAGCTCCGCAAATGGTCTTCTAACCATCCAAAACTACTCGATCATCTTCCAAAGAATTTTTGTGAAACCCCTCACATATTTCGTTCTACAGGTCAATCGTACCACAGTGTATTAGGCCTAAAATGGATTTCTGAAACAGATGAATTCTCTTATATGATCAATAAACCTTCTGAGATCATAACAAAACGGTCTGTCCTCTCTACCATAGGACAAATTTTTGACCCGATTGGAATGCTAGCCCCGATTATTTTTTGGGCTAAGACCCTAATGCAACACATATGGACGTTAGGACTCGACTGGGACACACAACTCCCTCAGCCTATAGCTGAAAAATGGTCACAGTTCATTCTAGAGCTACCTAACATAGAAACTCTCAGAATACCTCGATACTTACATTTAGCCAATTGTGTAAATATTGAACTACATGGATTTTCTGATGCAAGCGAGTGTGGTTATGCAGCTTGTGTTTATCTTAGAGCTGAAGATTCTTCTGGAAATGTCAATGTGAATCTGTTGATTGCAAAGTCAAAAGTTGCACCGTTGAAACGTGTAACAATTCCGAGATTGGAATTATGTGGTGCTCATCTGTTAGCAAAATTGTTAAATTATTGTCACGAGCAATTTTCTAGCTCTTACAAAACTTCCATGTTTGCATGGTGTGACTCCAGTATCGCCCTGTCATGGATTAAAACCCCGTCTTATCTACTCAAGCTTTTTGTTGCTAATCGTGTGGCTCAAATACAAGAACTTATACCCATTTGTACATGGGGACATGTGTCTACCAACGATAATCCTGCGGACTACGCTTCTCGCGGGTTAACCGCCTCAAGCCTACTTCATCTTGAACAGTGGTGGTCTGGTCCCCAATGGCTCCAAGGAGACTCCTCTACCTGGCCTCAAACTTGCCATATGTTCGTCCCAGATAATGAGCTTCCTGAATTGAAAACTACGACCCTCAATCTTGTAACCACATCGGACAATGATGGATGGATTTCAAAATTTTCTTCGTGGAAAACTACACTACATGTTATGGGATATGTTTTGCGTTTTATTTCTTGTCTGAAAAGTAAACAAAGGATTACACATCCCCTTACCAGTGAAGAACTTGAGAATTCTGACAAACGAATTTGTTGGCTAATTCAAAGCTCGTCCTTTAAGGATGAAGTCGAACTGTTGCGCAAGAACAAAGTCTGTTCTGATCGCATTCAACGCTTAGCACCCTTTCTGGATTCTGAAGGAATTTTAAGAGTTGGAGGAAGATTAAAAAACTCTAACTTGCCTTTTTCGGCAAAACACCCAATAATTTTGCCTAAACGTCATCCTGTTGTACGTCATCTCATTGATTTTTACCACAAGTCCAATCTTCATGTAGGACCTCTGCAACTACAAGCAATACTCCAAGAGAAGTATTGGATATTATCGGCACGAAGTGTCATCCGTTCTGTAATATTTGAGTGTATTCGCTGCTTTAAGGTTAAACCTAGAACCACCTTCCCTTTAATGGCTGACTTACCTTCAGGTCGAGTAATTCCTACTAGATGTTTCAACGTTTCTGCTGTTGACTATGCAGGTCCATTCACGGTGAAACTCTTCAAACTTCGAAAAGTACAACCCATCAAGGTATACCTCTGTTTGTTCATCTGCTTCGTCTCCAAGGCAGTACATCTTGAAGTTGTTACCGATTTGTCTACAAACACTTTCATTGCCTCACTAACAAGATTTATTTCTAGAAGAGGATTAGTCTCTGATCTCTACTCTGATTGTGGCACTAACTTCATTGGCACCAGCTCAACTCTTCGGAAAACCTTTGAAGATCTGATGAAATCACCAGAAACTCAGCAATATGCTCAAGATAACAGAATTACCTTCCACTTTAATCCACCCAAAGCACCTCATCAAGGGGGATTATGGGAACGCGCAATCAAGAGCGCTAAGTATCATCTTACTCGAGTCATAGGTGACCAAGTTTTGACTTATGAAGAGTTTATCACTTTAACAACACGTGTAGAAGCTATGTTGAACTCTAGACCAATCACACCATTATCATCTGACCCCAATGACTTGGAACCACTCACACCAGGACATTTCCTCACTGGAGGACCATTAGTTTCTTTAATTGAGCCTTATCTTCTAGACTCTACACCTGTGCAGCATTGGAGAAGAGTTCAAGCTTTCTCACAACACATCTGGCGTAGGTGGAATAGAGAGTACCTCCAAACACTTCAAGAGCGTTCCAAATGGACCAAACCTCAGAAGAACCTAAAGATAGGAGATATGGTTATTATACACGATGACAACTTACCTCCACTGTCTTGGAAAATGGGACGTATCCTCGAAGTTTCTCCTGGCTCCGACGGAACCGTGAGAGTGGTAAAGGTCAAGACTTCAGGCAGATCCTTAACCCGTCCTGCTGTTAAGGTGTCCTGCTTACCCTTACAATAACCTCCAAACCTGGCTACTGTACCCCTCTATTTCTTAATTTTTCTCAAAAAAGTTGTCTTTCATTTATTTTCTGTTGAACCGGATTGGTTCAAGGGGGGGAATATGTCAAGGATTTCTATTATATTGTTTGTTCCCATTTGGCCTTAGAAGAATATTTCATTCCATAATGTTATTTCAGTTCCATATTGTAAAACAGTTCAGTCCCAATCCAATTGTTTCAATTCAATAGACTAGACAGACCGTCATATCTTCTCTCTCTCTCTCTCCCTCCCCCTTCTTTCTACCGGTCAACCGGACACTCTTGTCTCAACTACAGTCCACTAAACTTAAAACTATAAGTTCATCAGTAACTTATTTGTATTCAATTCCCATTCTAAGGCCATCAGTCGCCATTTTATTTTCTTTCCCTTTTTAAAATACCAGTTTATTATTATTTTAGTTAAGCAAGCAGCAGTTTTTTGTTTTATTTATTGTTCTGGACATTATTAAATTCAGTGTTGTAAAGAACTAGGACGAAACTAGGTAACAGTGCAAGTAGTGAAAGCATCTCCCATCATCACAGGGGCGCCCCTAACTACAACTCGACTTCAAGACGTCAAAAGGTGCGTGCATCAAAATATCTAAATATTATCACTACAAAATTTGTCTTTTTATTACATTTATAAAGTAACATATTCAAATTATCCCACAACCCTTGTCGCAGCAAACCTACGGACTGAGCAAATTTCCAGTTACCTGAATTGATGTTTGATGAATTTAAATGTTATAATTTACATTCAATCTCATTACTCTCTAATAAACCTACATTAGGATAACACTACTTCAAATATCTCAGCAACCAATAGATGTACTGTAGAAAAATAATTTGGTATAACATTTTTTTCGTTTTGTTTTTATACCTGATTCAAAGGCGATCAAATCATTTTGACAACAGTTCAAATTCTATGGAACAACATACAGACTCATATAAATAAAACTAATATAATTTAGTAATATTTTGTTTACAAAAATGCTAAACTTGAATTTAATGTATATTTATACGTCTTATTTATTTTCTGGATTGGGATTATATTTTTTATTTCTATATCTTTCAAATACTTTCAATAATTCAAAATAAGGACCTCGTAATATCATTATACAAAATAATAAGACATTTGGAATGTAAAAATTATTTGAGATATTATACAAATATTATACAATCTTGGGAATTTAAAATGAAACATTAATTGCCGTAAAACCTGGGGGCTAGAGTAAAATACATTTTGTATCTATATAAATTAGGTCCAAATAAACATATACATTTAAATACACTAAACAATTAAGCCAGTCTATCTAAGTATTGTTAAAACTAAAAATGTTGGTCAAATTTGTTTACTTGCAAATAACTAATATTAAAACTTAAATAGCTGTACACATACCTCATAATAGAGTGGAGCGCGTCTTACCGCTATTGAAGCTGATCGTACTCTGCGCTTCGTCGTCACAAAAATGCCAATTCTAAGCAGATATAGGGGTAACTGCTTCCGGTAGAGCAGCTGGTGGGGCAGGTGATAGTCATCTGCTACTTTGCTTAGTACTGCAGTTTTACAATATACAATGTTTTAACAGCGGTTCCAAGTGACACTGTTTAGAACCACAGGAAATCTACTAATAATTAACCCAAGGTTTGATTTCTAGCTGAGTCGTTTTTTTTTATGGATGATTTCGTTCTTGTTTACAGGATGCAGTGTTTTCTGTTGTATTCAATTATTTTGTCATCAATCGTAAATACATAATTTTTTGTGAAGAATTTGTTTACTTTTTTTGTCTAGATCAGTTTGATTTATAATAGGCCTAACAGAATCAGCGTCTATTATTCCAACGTACATTAGTTGACTTTATTTCTAATAACCTTCATACATTTATCCTTTTTATAAGAAAAATATTGTTTGCAAGGCCTTCTCTGTTTTGACTTTGATTATGATATTTTCTATTTTATGACTCATACTGTAATTTTTCTTTCTTTTTATAATGTTAATACAATATTGGAGCTTCAGATTTAATAAACAAATTTTATGTCATTATTATTTGTAATATTATTAGCTGGAGGGTAGTAGGCCTACTTTACTCAAACTCAGGCTTGTTTAAACGTTCATCAGGTTCAACGACGTTAGTCGCATAGAGAGATAGTTTTGACCATATTGAATTATTCATTTGTTTTTCCACCCACATTTTTAAGTACTCAATTGTAAATAGTTTTACGTCTTTCTTTCAACGAGCTCATAGTCATATAGTTAAAATCTTGCTCACATTTTTATATTTATTTACATAAACTAACATAAAAACTTAGAGTCAAATTTTTTAGTTGTCAAAGCCAATCACGAAATTCCTTTTTATTACATTGACACGCGTATTTTTTAGTTAGTTTAAGAAATGTAAAGGAAAGAAAAATACCTCCAGGTTTTAAAATTATGTTTAAAGGCTCTGTTTACTATATATACTATGAATGCTAGGTAACTATTTCACGGTTCATTTGACCGAAAAATGTAACCATCGATTGTATTTTGTATATTCCCTAAAAAAGGTTAGTCCTATTATACTAGTAATAATGTGTCAACTAGCTAGTTGCACATATTCTTACGTCCCACACCCCTGACGAACACATAACCTTACCCAATAGCTAACGAAGATTAAAAATATCTTCATCATAACGTTAAAACTATGTTTTACACAAGTCTAATTAACTATACAGCCCGATGTGTAACTGACTCACTCACGGGGGATACTAATTCTAGAGCACTTCTAGATGAGCTAGAGACTTGAAATTTTCGGTGGTTGTAGGTCTAGTGCCCAAACCCCCGGGAAAATTCCAAAAAGTTACATTTTTAAATTTTAACCCCCCCGTAATCTCGAATTTCCCCCCCCATGTTATTCTTATGGGAAATAGCATTGAAAATTGCCGACTTTGGTCTGTTCATCTGAACCACTTAGAAACGTGCTAGAGACTTCAAATCTGCGTAGTATTGTAGTATGAGATCTTACAATACCGGTGGAATTTGCAAAAGTCCCATTTTCAAATTTTAACCCCCTCAAAAATCCAAAATGGCGGACCTCTGAAATGAAAAAAACACGTTTTTTTCAACCGGATGTAGCTCGAAAACGGCAAGAGATAGAAAAGATTTGAAAGTATATTCAGGAACAGGAATTAAATTTTATACAAAACCCCTATTAGGCGTTTTCCAAAAATCGGACTCCTTCACCTTCAAAAAACGGCCTACTTTCAAAATTTTGTAAATTTCATTCACATTTTTTACGGTTTTCGCTATGTTTTCATATTTAAATAATTTCTTTTTGCAGATATTATTAGTGCTCTGTATTTTCCTTACTTTACTTTATATTTCACTCATTTAATGTTTTTTTGTATCTTTACTCCTTAACCCCCAAAACTTAGGTTTAATGTCAAAATTTAAAGGTTTTTTGCAACTTTTACGAGCCCCATGTTATTCTTATGGAGAATAACATCGAAAGTGGCCGACTTTGGTATGCTCATCTGAACCGTTTATAAACGTGCTACAGAATTGAAATTTGCGTAGTATCGTAGTATGGGATCTTCAATCAACGGTGAATTATTCTAAAGACAGATTTTCAAATTTTCTCCCCCCTCAACCATCCAAAATGGTGGACATCTAAAAAGGACAGAACACGTTTTTTTTTAACAGCTGTAGCTCGAAAACGTTAAAAGCTAGAAAAGATTTGAAAGGATTTTCATGGTCAGGAATTAAATTTTCCACTAAACACTCTTAAGCGTTTTCCGGAAATCGCTAACCTTCACCTTAAAAAAAAACGCCCTACTTTCAAAATTTGGTAAATTTCTTTCAAACTTTTAACGGTTTTCCATTTTTCTTCATACCTAAATAATAAATTTTTACAAATATTATTAATGCTTTGCATTCTCCTTAGTTTACTTTACATTTTACTCTTTACATGTTTTTTCGTAACTTTATTCCTTGACTCCCAAAACTTAGGTTTAATGTCAAAATCGAGCTTTTGTAAATTTCTTTCAAACTTTTAACGGTTTTCCATATTTATTAATACCTAAATAATACATTTTTGCAAATATTCTTAATGCTTTGCATTCTTCTTAGTTTACTTTACATTTTACTCTTTACATGTTTTTTCGTAACTTTATTCCTTGACTCCCAAAACTTAGGTTTAATGACTAAATGTGAAAGTTTTTACGAGCTCCATGTTATTTTTATGGAGAATAGCATTGAAATGTAATGACCAAAAGGTTATAAGCAATACACTACGTTGATTACATATTAGTGTCGGTTAGCTGTCCGTATTTTTATTGACTAATGATTGATGTCAGTAATGCAGCACGTATTTTCCGCTAAAGCAAAATTAGGGTTTGGTTCTCGCTCTTATCTTTGCATTCTGATTTGACTACCCATGTTAGATGCTCGCTCATATAGGTTGACAATATTTCGTCGATTTTGAGTTTGGTTCTCGCTCTTATTTCTGCTACCATATTTGACTAGACTTGTGGAGTAAGAGCTTCTCCTTTTACTGGAATTTTTTTGGGTTTCTCCGTGATTTCGGATTTTGCCCAGTTATAATGGAGTTTACTTGCGTTGCTGTTGGATCCTTTCATCAAGGGGATTCAAAATTCACTGACAGCAACAATTCTCAATGTGTTGCTAATGCGGCATGTGCATTAGCTTGGCAAGTGTTCCGCGGGGGATTTAGTACTCATGCTGTTGATGAAATACTCATGGCCGGCGATCGCTTGTACAAGAATTCTCGCCTTGAGTACAACGTTGTCAGCAGATACTTGTTTCCCGAGGAACTTGCCAAGAGCTTCAATATTGAAGACCAGCACGTTTCCGTCGAGGAAATCTCGTACGTGCACAACGGATTGTATCCGACTAGTGTGGATGGCTTGGATGAGGCCGTTCAATCCTTGACATCTGTCTTGGAAAATATTATGTCCGCCGATTCCCTCGACGGCGGGTTTTTGTTCACGGGGCAATTAGTGACTGTGGCCTTTTGGCGTCACCGAGAAAACTTATATCTCTTTGACTCCCACGCCGTGAATAATATCCGCCGTAGAGATGTTGTCCCCGATAACAACAAAGCGAGGCTATTTCAATGTGGGAGTTTCACTGCATTGGCCTCACTTTTATTGGCAAATTCCGCGTTCGTCGGTGGAGAGTACAGCATCATGAGACTCAAGTTTTCGATTGACTGTACAAACCAACCGATCGAACATGCGGTTATTGATCCTGATCCTATTCCCCCCTCCCCGACGGTTTCAGATCCCATATTGGATGGCAAAAAAGGTCCTGGCAGACCTAAAAAGGTAAAACGCGGGCGTCCGAAAGTTTTGGACACTACGCATGACGAGCAAGTGCAAGCGGCAAAGAAGAAGTACAGAGAGACGCACTCTGATGACATCAGAGAGAAAAAAAGTCAGTACTCCCAGAACCATCCTGAGGTGAACAGGGAGGCTGTTGGCCGTTACAGCCAAAACCACCCCGAGGTCAACAGAGCTGCTGTTGGCCGTTACAGTCAAAATAACCCTAGCATACACCGGAAGGCTGTTCGAGAGTACGACTTGCGTCATCCCGGAGCTTCTTCTGGAAGAGTGCAGATTTTCCGTCTGAAAAATCCTCTATTTACCGATCTTCGTCACTTGCCAGCTTCACTTGCTCGAAGCATTTCTGATCACGGTCCAATGGGGTCTTGGAAGGGGGAGCTGTTGAATGATATTCCAGCTTTTAGTCTTAAAAAAGTTAGTCTTTGGGACAATGATATTTTTAAATGTATGCACTGTGGCGCTCCACTTTTTGAGGAGGAAAAAGGTAGGAAGAAGTGGTGTTGCGGACAAGGGGCATACAACGTCCTTAATCTAAGCCCCCTTGATGCATCCTTCTATTCGGATCGGCGTTTTCTCGATAGGGCTCGTGCCTACAACGACCTGTTTGCGTTCTGTGCTTTAGAGGTATCTGGTGGGTACAGGCACCCCAGTGGTCTCTCTTTCTTTAAAATCGAAGGGAGAATGTACCACCAGGTCTACAATCTGTCCGACCCTGGTCAAAAGTTTACCACTAAGGCTGGGGACGTTCAGTTTGTGAACCGGTCCCGTCTTTACATCGACGACGGTGAAGAACGGCGGAACATTGCCTTGGGTAGATCACTTGACGGTGACGTTGTTGACTCTATCAATCGATACCTGTCACAGCAGAATCCATACGTCACTCACTATCGGCGTTTGGGTAGTGAGCCAGCTGTGAACGCTCACTTGGATTTCCAGGTGACAAGTAGATCTACCCATGGTCCCGTTCTAGGCGACAGGCAAACAGGCGTTGAGGTGCACGCTGTCATAAGCACCGACGAGACAGTTTACGAGCCCCGCAAGCTATCCGTATGGAAAGTTGGATCCGGAAGACCCACTTCTATCAACCTTTTCAGTCCCCTCATGGAACCCTTCCAGTACCCTCTGCTCTATCCTCAAGGCACTTTGGGCTGGCATATTGGTCGCCGCGACAATTTTAACAACAAATTGTCCCAGTATGATTATTCCCGTTGCCTTCTGCTGTCTGAGCCTCGTTTCTCACACCTCGGCCGACTGTCTCAAGCTTGGCAGGTCGAAATGTATGCCAGATACGAGGACGAGAAGCTCAACTACATCAAGTTCACGCAGACGAAGGCAGCTGAAAATGCCATGAGGATAGGGCCGTTGGATGAGATTGAAGCGGCGAATCGTGGTGGACGGCAAGTGCTCAACGACATTAACAATGACGAGACAGTTCAGGGGGAGGGTGGGGTACAGGCTGGCAAAGTTTACCTCCCAAGTTCGTTTACCGGGGGGCCGAGATATATGAAACTTCGATATGAGAATGCTATGGCATTGGTCTCACGTCTCGGCTTCCCCACATTTTTTCTCACATTCACTTATAGTGCGACTTGGGAGGAGAACAAAAAAGCCTGTCCTCGAAATAGCGGTCGCAGTGATCCCAGCACGGCCTGCAGAGTTTTCTATATCAAACTGCTGGAACTCCTCCGTGATTTGCGCAGCGGAGCTATGTTCGGTCGGTCTATCTACATAGTCCACGTCATCGAGATGCAGATGCGGGGTCTTCCACATGCCCACATCGTGTTCAAAATCGATGGCGATGGACCAGTGCAGGCTTCGGACATAGACTCCCTCATCCGCGCTGACATTCCATCTCCGGAGGAGGCTGGAGGCCGATTAAGGGCGTTGGTTCTGCGGCACATGATCCACGGCCCTTGTGGTACGGATCACAGGACCGACTTCCCTTGCTGGGACACTGCCAAAGGCAGCTGTTCTAAATTTTTCCCCAAACCTCCCTGTGAATCAACCCATGTAGACGAGAGGGGTTTTGTAAAATATCGACGTGATTATGGTAATGAGGGGAGTATAACTTCAAGAAACAAATCGATTCCTGTACATGACGGCTGGGTCGTGCCGTACAACGCAGCATTACTTCTTAAATACGAGGCACACATCAACTTGGAGGTAGCTTCTACTCGTCGTGTGATCAAGTATCTGTTTAAATACCTCATGAAGGGTGGCTCGCTTCAGAACGTCAAAGTTACTCCTCTTAGTAAACAAGACGATGAAGTTGAGCACTACGTCACGAAGCGTATGGTGGGAGCCAGCGATGCATGCTGGCGTCTCTTGGACTTTCCCATCTCAAAGTCTGAGCCGACAGTCGATTGTCTCCCTGTCCACCTAGAGGGAAAACAGACTGTGTGTTTTCGCCCTAACAACTTGACACACGCCACTTCGGGAGCTACCTCTGACCTGCTCTTGTATTTCAATAGGCCTCTTGACTCGGTATTCGACGATTTAACCTACCAGTCTTTTTTCGAGCAGTACGTTATTCATAACAAACGCCCTAGTAATGCTGAGGTGTACGACCATCCAGACGGCAAGCATTTCCTTACCTCAAGAAAGCGTGGTCAAAAGATCTGTCGTCTCTTCTGGGTCTCGCCAAACAGAAGCGAGCAGTACTTTCTTAGGCTCCTTTTGATGGTCATTCCGTGCCGGGGATACGCCGACCTGCTCGCTCGTGGTGGTGATGGTTGCACGACATATCAACAGGTTGCGCGCACCCTCGGTTTGGTTGAGGACGAGGACGAGTACCACCAAGCCCTCAAGGAAGCAGCTCGTTTCATGGTCGGCCCGAGGCTCCGCTCTTTCTTTGTCCTTCTGTGCAACATGGGAGCTCCTGCGGCCCTCTTGTGGGATGCTTTCCGTGACGCATTGTGCGAAGACCATTTGGAGCGGAATCCTCTTGATCACGAGGTTGCGTACAAGCTGGCTCTGATTGAGATCGATCGAAGCCTTCGACGTCAGGGATCCTGCTTGGCCGGCCACGGTCTCCCTACTGTAGACGACGACACGACCGAACTGGGGAGGGAACTTCTCATCTACGGTGAAAATCGTCAGAGATCACTTGTAGATGAGTGGGAACCTAAACTTTCCCGCGACCAGAGGGCGGTCTTCGATTATGTTCGGTCTCTACTACAGGGCCAAGTCGATCGTCGATCAACAAAATTGATTTTCCTTGACGGACCCGGAGGCTACGGCAAGACCTTCCTAATACACGTAATTCTCGCTTACGTCCGTAGTCGTAACCAAGTCGCTATTGCTGTCGCTAGCTCCGGCATTGCCGCTGGTAATCTGCCTGGTGGCACGACAGCACATAGCATGTTTCGGCTACCACTTGATCTCGGCGATGGCACTGGATATTGGAACTTGACCAACGGATCTCAGCGGGCAGAACTCATCAGAGCCGCACAGCTCATAGTTTTTGATGAGGCCCCGATGGCTCACCGGTACATTTTTGAAATCATCGACAGATCTCTGCGTGATCTCATGAATTCACCTGAGCCATTCGGGAATAAGATCTTTATCTGCTGCGGAGATTTCCGTCAGATCGCACCAGTTGTTGCCAAGGCTCGTACTCCGGCCGACATTGCCTGTGTATCACTGTGTGCGTCATCTCTGTGGTCAAGTTTCAAAATCTTTTCTCTCTCCACTCCTCACCGGACTTCTGGGTCCACTGCCTACTCTGACTTCCTCCTCCAAGTAGGCAATGGAACAATTTCATCTGTTCCATTTGGGGAAGGCCGTGACTCTGTTGCCCTGATCCCACTGTCCGGTGTGAAATACGTAACATCCCTTCCCGACTTGATAGATTTTGTGTTTCCTACTTGTGACCTACACCACACAGACAGAATTGCTGGCAGGTCCATTCTTTCGACCATGAACGCCAATGTCCAGCAGATCAACAACACCGTCCTCAACCTGATGGACGGCGTCGTTCATGAGTTGAGAAGTGCTGATTCAATAAGACCTCGTCTGATCACAGTGCGACTCCCTGGACAACATGATCCGATTTGTATTCCCCGGATTCAATTCGTTTTTCCGTTCGTCGAGGGGTCACTGCTTCGTGTCCGCCGTCTTCAGTTTCCTCTCATGCTGGCATATTCCATGACTGGCCACAAAAGCCAGGGCCAGACGATTGATCGCGTCGGAGTCGATCTTCGCAGTGACTGTTTCACTCATGGTCAGTTGTACGTCCTGCTCAGTAGAGTCAGGCATCCAGACCATATAGTCGTCCTTGTCCGTCCCGACCGTGTCCAAGGGGGAATCGCATACGCGAAAAATATCGTGTATGACGATCTCCTCCTCTAACCCTGACTTGACTTTAGCTGTAGGTTTTTGTATATATTTCCTTTTAAGTCTTTTCTTTAGAAATAAGTCGTTTTCTGTGTGTTTTTAGTATTCTAGTTTGGCAGTACGATAGGGGGCCTGCCTTATCAAAAGTCCCCGTTGTTGTATATATTTTTTTTCTTCTTTTTATTTGTTAGTTAAGTTGTTGTTCATATTTCTTTAGGTAGTTAGTAAAGTTTACTAACTTGTATATTTGTAAATAATTGTAAATATGGTTCCGACGTTTCCTGGCCTCCTCGTGGCGGAACTGGATATGCCATAAAGTTTATGGCTAACCGACAGGGAAACAAACATTACTTGATCTATTTTCATAAATATATACATGAATATCTACTATAATCTATTTTATTAATATAACACTTTACTATTATCAACTTATTCACTTATTAATCTACTTATCTTATACAAAACTTAGCTTGTACATTTGTTAACAATTGTAAATATGGTTCCGACGTTTCCTGGCCTCCTCGTGGCGGAGCTGGATATGTCATACAGTCTATGGCTAACCGACAGGGAAACAAACATTACTTGATCTATTTTCATTAATAAATTTATAAATATTTACTAACATCATTTTAACTTTCCTGGCCTCCCCGTGGCGGAACTGGATATGCCATACAGTTTGTGGCCAACTGAAAGGGAAACAAAAATAACTTCATCTATTTTCATAAACATATACATGAATATTTACGATGAACTATTTACTTAATATAATACTTTACTATTATCTACGTAAAAATCTATTCCAATATTTTGTGGAATGGTTAGTACTTCAATATCGATTTTCATAAAGCAATATAGACTGTTTCACTGACTGCTTTGTTACCCTCTTTGTTACAACTAAACTACTATCTACTAATGACGACTAACAGCTAGGGGGCCTGGGGGCGGAGCCCCCAGCGAGCCAAAGGCGAGTCTAAATAACTATACAGCCCGATGTGTAACTCACTCACTCACTCACTCACGGGGGATACAAATGTTTGAGCACTTCTAGAATAGCTAGAGATCTGAAATTTGGCACACTTGTAGGTCTTGGGCCCCAACCCACGAGAAAATCCTAAAAAGTTGCATTTTTTAACATTAACCCCCCCGTAATCTCGAATTTCCCCCCCCCATGTTATTCTTATGGGAAATAGCATTGAAAATTGCCAACATTAGTAAGATAAAATAAACCTCTTAGAAACGTGCTAGAGACTTGAAACTAGGTAGTATTGTAGTATGGGATCTTAAACTAACGGTGATATTCGCAAAAGCCCCATTTTCAAGTTTTAACCACCCTAAAAATCCAAAATGGCGGACCTCTGAAAACGACAAAACACGTTTTTTTCCAAGGGCTATAGCTCGAAAACGGTAAGAGATAGAACAGATTTGAAAGTATATCCAGGAACAGGAATTAAATTTTATACAAAACCCTCTTAGGCGTTTTCCGAAAATCGCACTCCTTAACCCTCAAAAAACGCCCTACTTTCAAAATTTGGTAAATTTCTTTCAAATCTTTACCGGTTTTCGCTATTTTTTCATACTTAAATAATTAATTTTTTCAAATATTATTATTGCTTTGTATTCTCCTTTCTTTACTTTAAATTTTACTCATTACAGGTTTTTTCGTAACTTTACTCCTTAACCCCCAAAACTTAGGTTTAATGTCAAAATTTGAAAGTTTTTACGAGCCCTATGTTATTCTTATGGAGAATAACATTGAAATTTAATGACTTTGTTATGGTCATCCGAATCGTTTAGAAACGCGCTAGAGACGTGTAATATGGTAGTATTGTAGTATGGGATCCTAAATTAATAGTTAAATTTGCAAAAATCTCATTCTCAAATTTTACTCCCCAAAATTTGGCAAATTTATTTCTAACCTTTAATGTTTTTCTCACTTTTCATTCCTCCGTAATTTTTTTTTCTTAAAATATTATTAATGCTTTGTATTGTCTTTAGTTTACTTTTTATTTTACTCATTTCCCCTCAAAAATTAATAATGGCTGATTATTGGTAAAGCAGTACATCTAGTTGGTTCTCGCTCTTATTTCTGCTACCAAATTTGACTATACCTGGTGGGTAATGCAGTACAATGAGTTGGTTCTCGCTCTTATTTTTGCTACCAAATTTGACTATACCTGTTAAAGATTCACCATCACTTAATCCTATTATTTGGACTTGTGCTTTTTGCCAATTTGCGATACACAATTATTTGTTTTAAATTGGCTTGAAAGCATGGATTACACTTGTGTAGCTGCTGGTTCTTTCCATCAGGGAGATCCACGATTCACTGATAGTAACAACGCTCAGTGCGTGGCCAATGCAGCTTGTGCCCTTGCCTGGCAAGTGTTCTGCGGAGGTTTCAGTTCATCCGCCATCGACGAAATACTCATGGCCGGCGATCGCCTATATGCGAAATCTCGCCGTGAGTTTTGCGTTGTTGACAGGTTCCTGTTCCCCGAGGAACTGTCCAGGACATTTGATATTGCGGAGAAACAGATTTCCATTGAGGAAATTACGCATGTTTCTAACGGGTTGTACCCGACTTGTGTTGATGGCTTGGATGAGGCGGTCAAGTCTTTATCATCCAGTTTGGAGAATGCCATGCCCGCTGATTCTCTCGACGGCGGGTTTCTTTTCACGGGGCAACTGGTGACTGTTGCATTTTGGCGTCACCAAGATCATTTCTATTTATTTGATTCACACGCCGTGAATGAAACCCGCCGTAGAGACATTGAATCGGATAAAAATAAGGCTAGGTTATTCGTATGTGGGAGTTTCCCTACACTAGCCTCACTTTTATTGGTGAATTGTGCGTTCGTCGGCGGACAGTACAGCATCATGAAACTTAGGTTTTCAATTGACTCCACTGTCCGGTCGATCGAACGTATCGATAATGATCCACAACCTATTCCCCCCTCCCAGACAGTTTCTGCCCCTAAAAAATGCCCCGGAAGACCTAAAAAAGCCAAACGTGGACGCCCGAAAACTTTGGAAACCACAAGGGAAGAGCAAGTGAATGCGGCTAAAAAGAAGTATAGGGAGACACACTCTGATCAAATCAGGGATGACAAAAAGCAATACTCCCAAGATCACCCTGAGGTAAATAGAGCGGCTGTTGGGCGTTACAGCCAAACGCACCCTGAGGTCAACAGGGCTGCAGTTGGCCGTTATAGCCAAACGCACCCTGAGGTCAACAGGGCAGCTGTTGAGCGTTATAGCCAAACGCACCCTGAGGTCAACAGGGCAGCTGTTGAGCGTTACAGCCAGAGTCACCCTGAGGTCAACAGAGAGGCGGTTGGTCGATATAGCCAACGAAATCCTGATGCCTCTCGACAAAGGGTGCAGATTTTCCGGCTACATAATCCTTTGTTTTCCGAACTTCGCCACTTGCCAGCTTCACTTGCTCGAAGCATTTCTGATCACGGTCCAATGGGGTCTTGGAAGGGGGACTTGTTAAATGATATCTCAGCTTACAGTCTTAAAATAATTAGTCTTTGGGACAGTGATATTTTCAAGTGCATACACTGTGGCGCTCCACTTTTTGAGGAGGAAAAGAGTAGGAAGAAGTGGTGTTGCGGACAAGGGGCATATAACGTCCTTGATCTAAGTCCCCTTGATGCAGTCTTCTATTCTGATCGTCGTTTTCTCGACAGGGCTCGTGCTTACAACGACCTGTTTGCGTTTAGTGCCTTAGAAGTATCTGGAGGGTACAGACACCCCAGTGGTCTGGCTTTCTTTAAAATCGAAGGTCGAATGTACCACCAGATATACAACCTGTCCGACCCCGGTCAAAAGTTCACCACCAAGACTGGGGACGTTCAGTTTGTGAATCGCTCCCGTCTTTACATCGACGACGGTGAAGAACGGCGGAATATTGCCTTGGGTAGATCACTTGACGGTGACGTTGTTGACTCGATCACTCGATACCTGTCACAGCAGAATCCATACGTCGCTCACTATCGGCGTTTGGGTAGTGAGCCAGCTGTGAACGCACACTTGGATTTCCAAGTGACAAGTAGATCTACCCATGGTCCCGTTCTAGGCGACAGGCAAACAGGCGTTGAGGTGCACGCTGTCATAAGCACCGACGATACAGTGTACGAGCCCCGCAAGCTTTCCGTTTGGAAAGTTGGATCCGGACGACCCACTTCTATTAACCTTTTTAGTCCTCTCATGGAGCCCTTCCAATACCCTCTGCTCTATCCTCAAGGCACTTTGGGCTGGCATATTGGTCGCCGTGACAATTTTAACAACAAATTGTCCCAGTACGATTATTCCCGTTGCCTTCTGCTGTCTGAGCCTCGTTTCTCACACTTCGGCCGACTGTCTCAAGCGTGGCAGGTCGAAATGTATGCCAGATACGAGGACGAGAAGCTCAACTACATCAAGTTCACGCAGACGAAGGCAGCTGAAAATGCCATGAGGATAGGGCCGTTGGATGAGATTGAAGCGGCGAATCGTGGTGGACGTCAGGTCCTCAACGACATTAACAATGACGAGACCGTTCAGGGGGAGGGTGGGGTACAAGCTGGAAAGGTTTACCTCCCAAGTTCGTTTACCGGGGGGCCGAGATACATGAAACTTCGATACGAGAATGCTATGGCATTGGTCTCACGTCTCGGCTTCCCCACATTTTTTCTCACATTCACGTATAGTGCGACTTGGGAGGAGAACAAAAAAGCCTGTCCTCGAAATAGCGGTCGCAGTGATCCCAGCACGGCCTGCAGAGTTTTCTATATCAAACTGCTGGAACTCCTCCGCGATCTGCGCAGCGGAGCTATGTTCGGTCGGTCTGTCTACATAGTCCACGTCATCGAGATGCAGATGCGGGGCCTTCCACATGCCCACATCGTGTTTAAAATCGAAGGCGATGGACCTGTGCAGGCTTCCGACATAGACTCCCTCATCCGCGCTGACATTCCATCTCCGGAGGAGGCAGGAGGCCGATTAAGGGCGTTGGTTCTGCGTCACATGAT